TGGGGTTAGGGCTGAGGGAAGGGTAGGTGGGATGGTGATGGTAGATGCAGGTAGGAAGTTGTTGTGATTGGTCAGTGGGTAGGGTGGAGCGGGTAGGTGAATAGGAAGATGGACAGGTTAGGTTAGGTCAGGTCAAGTCAGGTCAGTTCAGGGAGGTGAGGAGGAGGGGGAGGACTGGACATGGGACAAGGCTGGGAGTGGAGGGATTTTGAAGCTGATGAAGTCAATATTGAGGCCATTGGGCTGTAAGCTCCCAAGGCGAAATCTCAGATGTTGTTCCTTTAGTTTACGTTTGGCCTCACTCTGACAGTGGAGGAGGCCAAGGATGGTCATGTCACCAGTGGAGTGGGAGGAGGAGTTTAAGTGAATGGCAGCCAGAAGGTTGGGTTTGGTTGTCGTGTGCAAACTGCAGTTGCTCCGCGAACTGGTTCCCAAGTCTGTGTTTGGTCTCCCCGATACAGGGAGACCACATCGGGAGCACCAGATGCAATAGATCACATTAGGTGAAATGCAGGTGAATCTCTGCCAGATCTGGAAGGATTGTTTGGACCTTGGATGGAGGTGAGAGGGGAGGTTTGGGGCAGGTATAGCATCTCTTGTGGTTGAGGGAAAGATGCCAGTTGTGGTGGAAAAGTTGGTGGGAACTGTAGAGCTGATACAGGAGTCGCAGAATGAATGGTCCCTGCGGAAAGTGCACACGGGTGGGGAACGAAATATCTTTTTGGTGGTGGGGTCTCATTATAGATGGCAGAAATGTTGGAGGACGATGCATTGGATTCAGAGGTTGGTGGGGTGGTATGTGAGGGCAAAGGGGACTCTATCCTTATTGTTGTTGGGGGAGGGGGTTTGAGGGCAGAAGTGCGAAAAATGGAAGAGATATGGTTGAGGGCATCCTTGATTACAGAGGAGGGGAAACCATGGTCCCTAAAATTGGAGGATATCTGGGAAGTCCTGGCATAGAATGCCTCATCCTGGGAGCAGATGCAGCGGAGGAATTCGAAGTATGGGATAGCATTTTTGCAGGAGGATGGGAGAGAGGAGATGTAGTCGAAGTAGTTGAGGAAGTCAGTGGGTTTGAAATGGATGTCAGTGGTGAATTGGTTTCCGGAGAGGTCCAGGGAAGGGGAGAGAGGTGTCAGCAATAACCCAGGTGAATTTGAGGACGCAGTGAAAGGTGTTGGTGAAGCTTATGAGCTGCTCACGCTCCTCGTGGGAGCGCAAGGCAGCACTGATGCAGTCATCAATATAGTGGAGAAAGAGGTGAGGGATGGTGCCAGTGTAGTTGCGGAAAAGGGACTGTTCCACAAACAGTTCCTACAAAGAGGCAGCCATAGCTCGGGCCCATATGGGTGCCCATGGCCACCTCTTTGTTTTGTAGGAAGTGGGAGAAATCAAAGGAAGAATTGTTGAGAGTGAGGACCAGTTCTGCCAAGCGAATGAGAGCGTCAGAGGAGGGGACTGGTTGCGCCTACGGGAGAGGAAGGAGTGGAGGGCTTTTGGGCCCTCTGTGTGGGGGATACAGGTGTAAAGGGGCTGTATGTCCATGGTGAAGATGAGGTGTTGGGGGCCGTGGAATTGAAAGTCGGGAAAAGTTGGAGGGTGTGGGTTGTGTCACAAATGTAGGTAGGGAGTTCCTGGACCGAAGGGGAAAAAACAGAGTCGAGGTAGGAGGAAATGAGTTCAGTGGGGCAGGAGCAGGCCGAGACACCGATCAACTGGGGCAGTCGGGTTTGTGTATTTTGGGTAGGAGATAGAAACGGGCCGTGCGGGGTTGGGGAACTGCCAGGTTGGAGGCTGTGGTATATCTCCCGAAGTGATGAGGTTTTACTTTTCTTGTATGGTGACAGGCCCAGGTTAACCTCACCACCACTTCTCCTGACTCCTTCAATGTTGCTAAATTATCAGATTGCTTATCTGATATTAGAAATTTCAACTAAATATTGGAAATATTGAAGCCACTGTTTTTGGTTCCTGCTCCAAACTCTGTTCCTGACTTCAAACATCTCCAGACCATTAGTCTGAGATTAACCTAGTCTGCTCACTGTGTCATATTCAATTTTTCTGAACTCATGTTTTGTGCCATCACAAAGACTAACAAATTTCCACTGCCCTAATATCACCCAAACTCAGTCTTTTTTCAGTGCATTTGCTTCTGAAATTTCATTCATAGCTTCATCACTTTATGGTTTGACTATTCCAACCCATTTCTGGCAGGTTCCCACATCTCATCTTTCATAAACTTGATGTTGTTCACATGATATATCAGCCTGGTATCATTCTTAGTTTTATAATGCTTCTGTGAAACATCTTTGGATGATAAGTTGCTATAGAAGTTGTTCTAGACACTTTCCACATCTTGGCCAGTGAAATTACTTTAACAGTTTATTTTTAGACAAGTAAGATATTACGTTATTCCCTCCATGTTTTATTGTATTTTTCTCTAACTAATTCAAAAGATCTCACTCTATAGGTGAAATCTTATAGTGTGCGGAGCAATGGAGGCTATGGTGAAATTTCTGGCAGAATAGGGCGAGACATTTGGTGTGACCTATCTCAGTGCCAGAAGCAATTCACTGCATTTTCTGCTGAGTGGCGAGTTTCTTACTTGGTAGTGACGAATTATCAGTCAAGGGGGACTAGAACTTATTAAATGTCTGATTGACACTGCAACTTGCCTCTTTTATGTTCAGCTTACCAATTGCATTGAACAATCTCAACGTTGAGAATTCTGAACATGGAAGTCAGAGCAGGCACCTGATAACTTCAGCTCACCACTGGTTGTGAGGAGCCTCTATATTTCTCTGCAGCAAATAGCATTTCAGGACACAATCCTTGGCCAACAGCTACATGCATTCCTCATTTGTGTACATTGGTATTTGGTTTTTTTTCTGTTTATCTAGAAACAAGACTTTAATTTCTGAAACCAAAAAGTAATATGCTAAGACCCATGATCTATGGAATCAGGTATTCACAACAGAATGTACTTAGGTTGACACCTCAGTGCAGTAATGTGCATGAGCTGCAAATTCAGACATTGAGCCCCTGTCTCAGGTAAACATAAAATATCTCATTATACTGTTTCAGAAAAAAGGATGTTTCCCTTGTGTTGTGACCAATACGTAGGCCTCAATGAACTTTATCTGTTTATTCACACATTGTTGTTTATGGGATTTTGGTTCTTTGTTTAGAATTTTGGATCCAGTTTCCCAACTTGCTTTGGATCCCATGGGCTCATACCTTTCAGACCAGCTTTCCATGTGGGACCTTGACAAAGGCCTTACTGAAGTCCATGTAAACCACATCAACTGCACTACACTCATCGATATATTTAGTCACCTTTTAAAAGATTACTCAATTAAATCAGATAGGATCTCCCTCCAACAAATCTGTGCTGACTATCCTTGACCAATCCCTGCCTTTCCAAGGTTTGATTAATGCTGTCACTCATAATTTTTTTCCAATAATTTCCCTACCACAGATGTCAGACTAAACTGGCCTGTAATTACTTGGCCTCTATCCCTGCTGTCTTTCTTGAACAGAGGAATCACATTCGCTATCTGTCAGTCATCTGGCACTTCACCTCTGGCTGGTGAAGTATTAAATATCTACATCAGGGCCCCAGCAATCTCCTCCCTTGTCTCCTATAGCAGCCTGCGATACATCTCATCAGGCCCTGGGGATTTATGCACTTTACGCCTGTTAAAATATCTAATACCTCCTCCTTATTAATTTTGACACACTTTGGAACCTCACCATTCCAACTAAAATCTCCAGCTACAGTGTATTTCTCTTCTGTGAATATGGGTGAGGAATATTCATTTAAGATTTCATCCACATCTTCTGGCTCCACATACAGATCGCCCCTTTGGTCTCTAATAGGCCCTGCTCTTTCTCTATGTCTGGTATGATGACATAGAATGCCTGTGGTTCAGGGAATAAAGTGAGGAGATAAGCAGTTAAATAAATGAATTAGATAGGATCATGAGGAAGATCAAAGCTAATGGGGTTGAAGGGAAGGGCAACCAACAAGGAACTAGGAACATTTGGGGAGTCACCTGGACTGAGAGGCTGAGTCTGTGACTCACTCCATGAAGTGCAACTGTGGTCTCCTTAGATTGTGATCCAAAAAGCAAGCATGCCATGGAGATGAAAATGGCTGCCACAGCGCTGGGGTGAGTAAAATGTGTTTCATCCTCTAAAGGAAGGGGCTCCCTTTTTATGTGCTGTGTGGTCCTTCAAAGGGTAGTAGCATTAAACAGAATCCTACATAGTGCAGGTGAAAGATACTTGTTATCACAAAATGCTGTATGTGAACCTTATGCATTGACCTATTATGTTGAATGTAAGTTCTGACATCAAGCAGTCTTGACCATGTCATGCAATAATACAGTGGCTGAAGACCCAAGCAATAGTTTGTAGCCTGGAGATATTAACTCTCATTACCAAACTAACAATCAACTTCCAAGGTTCTACAGGTTGCACAGGCTGCAGGAGCTGCTCAGTTCACACCATGGATCATAAAGCACCTTGTAGAATTAAGAATGGTTAGCCTAAATATCTCCATTCTTAGAGTTGCAGATAAAATGGCATTCACTCAAATACTGATGATAAGTGAATATTTTAAAATGTATTAATGTATTTACATTGAAGTGCTACCTATGTTTCCTCGGACAGTTTTCTCTTTCCTGTTCCTCCTACTATATCCAGGTACAGTCCCAGGCTCCACAGTGAAGCAGAGGGACCCTGCCTTACCCTGCCCCATTGGCCTTGGAAATTTGGTCAGCTGACCTGAGACCATTTCTGGCTGGAGAATTCAGATGTGCTCAATATATCCTGCCCAGATGCAAGTTCATCCTCCATGGTGAGATCCACCCCCAGCAATGAGTGTGACAGGCAGGTAGAGCTAGAAGGCCTGGTCATCTCTGGAGTGGTCTAAGATAACATGCACAGAATTTACATTTCCAATTTTGAACACTTCCTTTCTTCTGATTATTTCCTAGCCATCATTAAATCCTCCAGGAAGAACCACATGTGACATCGTGCTTTTAAATCGATGGAGTGTGCGGAACTATGAAGTACAACGTGGTGATGTCATCTCTCTGGTGTAAGTAATATACCTAGTAGGATTTTGCAAAATGAATGTGTTTCTGAACCACTTGCCAGCTTTGAAAATGTACATTGATTGCATTACTGGCTTGTCGTGTTTGTTTCAAAAGCTCTCTTCAGAGTATGATCTTGTGACTGGTTACAAGTTTTTAATTAATGAATTCTCTAAAGCAACCATATTGCTAAATATTTTTGATATTGGTGCAATTGGTTATTTTTTGTTTGCTGGATTGGATCTGTTTGTGTGATTCATTATAAAATGTCATCCAGTTCCAAAAATGATAGATTGCAGGATGCATCAGATAAAACTATGTTTAGCTTCACACTAAACAGTCTTTCTGTACTCAGTAGATCTTCTTGGCCATATAGCATTTTGTGAACGAAGCAATCGTGAAACAGAAATTAAATGCATTGAGTTCATATTCTTTTTAAACTGAATTGACTTACTTACCTCTTCTGTTGTGGTTTTTTATCTCTGAAAGTAGAACAAAATATGAAATAAAGTTCTCCATGATGGCTAGGACTTACATCATGTGACTAGCTTGCAGAACACATTGCAATAAGATGTGTGAGATTTTCCTCCTCGTGATTTAAGATTCAAAAATAATCAGAAATATGGCTTTTTAATTGTGACTTGAGTGGCAGATAATTCTCAACCATCAAACCAGAAAATGAATACTAAATTACATTGATCATATTTCAAAATTGTGACAGTGTAGTAAAATTATAAGTTGACATTTTGTGTCATAAGGGCTTTTAACTTTAAACTTCACTGGAATATTTGAGTAAGCACTCTCATGGTACAAAATCAAATTGTATTATGTAATTAAATTGGTCTACTTATGAATGTGTTATTCTGGTGGAGATGAATGAACACATTTTAAAATCAAAAGTAATTATTAATTTTCCTTGTCAATTGACTCTCCTTCCCCTTATTTCCTGAAAACATAGATAAATGTAAAGTTTCCATAGTCCCGAAGGACCATAGCGGTGCTCTCTCATTAGAGAGAGACGACTGCTTGTGGTTTAACCTGAGGGTCACCACACTGCAGGTGAGGCTGAGAAGGTGGGAGTTTTCAAGGTGATCTCAGCGTATGCTACTATCAAGTAGATTGGGTTATTTTCCTATTGTTACAATCCCCAAAGAGATTGTTAATGTTTGAAGAGAAATTAAAATCTTTGGTGAAATGAAGACACAAGATTCCATAGTTTAGAAGAACTGAATTTTATTACACAAAAATCAAGCAAAGCAAACTCTGTTAAATTAACGGTGTCTTAGCTAATAACTTATACTTCACACTGAAAAACGTATCAAAGCAAACAATTATATATATCTTAAATGACTATTTTTAACTGAACCTTCCCTTTTCCATGATGATACCCCAGAAAGTAGTCATTGGCTACTTAACAGGTTATTAAAGGTTATCCACTTTCACGGGCACAACCCATGCTTTTGTACAAGACAGCTTTTATCTTTAAAGGCTAAGTCTGAGCTCCACTCACAATTCCTGCTTAGATAGTTAAAATGTTAGAAGCACCCTTTGTTTTTAATAGCTTTATCCACTTGTTCCATGACTCTTCCACAGCTGTTGGTAATTCTTTTTTGCTGCCTTTTCCCAGAGGAACTGCTTTTCATTATGAAGGTTACTGTCCTCCACCTTCAAGCTAGACAAATCTTCCAATTTCTTTTCCTCTCATGGACTCTGTCTTCAAACTGACAGCAAGCTTTCTATGCAGTGAACAATAAAGTGGCTATTTTCTTTGGTTAAGGTATAGGCCTGGCTAACATTTATTCCTTTTGATCCCTCAACTTTCCATTCACTCCAAAGCTGAGCTGCTTGTTTCTTGAAGCAGAAGCACAAAGTTACATCCTACACAAAGGAAGATTCCCTGCAACCTATCTCCATAGTAACGTGGTATATTTACATAACTAATTTTAGCTTCAAAACCAAAACTTTTGACATTGATGTCTGTATGACGAATTGATATCTCTAATGGAGTTAACAGTTCTTTTTCCAGATCAGCTGATTCCACTAACTGACCAGCCCTATCCACCCATCTCTTCCTTCTCCCCTTCCCCTATTTCCCCCATCTTACGCCTGTCCTTCCTGCCCTCTCCCTATCTCTCCCCTCCTCACTTGTTTACAAATGTGTTTTAACTTCTTCCACCTGAGAATTACATGTATGATTTAGATCTCGTACAGAAAGAAAACTATAGCCCTCTGGTCTCTACTATGCTCAGAGATGGTGTACCCATTTCTTACTTCCAAACCTGACCTTATTAACTGAACACTCGTTACCCTTTGAACTGTTGCCTCAAGTCTCTTTACCAGTTTCTCAACTAAGTGTTTCCATTTGCCTTCATTTAAAATTCAGTTTCAATTATGCAGAGTTTCCACTCTTTAGCCCTATCCGTTATATTAATGCCCATGAAATGTTTGAAGCAGCAAAGTGATACTGAGGCAGCATCTTCGTTTATGGATGTTGAGTTCCTGATGGCACAACCTGATGTGATCCCAAACAGTCAATGAATACATTAGATGAGCTATAGTGAACTAGTGTTCAAGGGAAGGCTGACATGCAGAGATATTGTTTTTGGTGCCAAAGAGTGATTTTGATTTATATGTTTTGGTTGATACAAAAATTGAATATGCCGGTATGTTAATTCTAATAAATGTCTCCCTTCTATTTAATTAGACAGTATCTGAATGCCTGAATTTAATTTTCTCCTTGCAAATAATTGACCTGATCTCTTGCTTTCTATGCTGCACTCTTAATTGGGATATAGAGTCAAAACCTGCGAACCATTTATTTTCTGAGGAGTCGATGTGCCTGTGGCTAGAATTTAGCAGTTACTAAGAAGACAGGTTGTCATTTGAAAAACTGAATTTAACCCACATAAACATGTATTTTGTTTTACTGCCTGTAAAGCAACTTCTTCCTAGGTGCATTTTTTATGAGGTGAAATTCATAGTTACAAAATATATTGAAGTTATTCTGTTCCTGATTACTAAAGAATATTTATGATGATGTTTCTATGTTTAAGCCAGCTGCTGTTAGTTCAATGGCCTTTGTTAAAAGCTTGACTGTGCTTATGAACCCCAGTTAAGGCTTTGCGTTGTCTGAACACTCCTGGAATGCCGTATTGAGAGAAAGCGATGCTGTTAGAGTTGCATTTTTAAAAATTTGCTCAGAGGATGTGGGCATCCATGGCAAGGACAGCATTTCTGAACATCCTTCTTTGTCCTTTGGAAGGCAATGGTGAATGCCTTATTGAACCACCTCAGTCAACATGATACGTGTGTACCCATTGCCATGTTAGGAAAGGAGCCTGACGATTTTGGCCCAGTGACAGTGAGGAATGCTGATATATTTCCAAGTCAAATGGCATGTGATTTGGAAGGGATATGATAGGTTGCCATTTGCAACCCTTGTGATTCTAGATGTTACAGATCACAGATTTGAAAGATACTGTCGCATCTGCCTTGATGTGTTACTGCAGTGCTTTTTGTAGAGAATTCAAGCTGCTCCCATAGTAAAATGCTGATGGATAGTGTGAATATTTCAAGTAGTAGATGGCATGACAATCATTACTCGAAATGTTAGCTTGCGTTCTCTTCATGGATGCTGCCTGACCTGCTGTGATCTCCAGCATTTTTTGTTTTCAGTCATGACAGTCGTTAGGTCTGTTTTGTCCCTGGATGATGTTGATTATTTTTGTCAATTGTTGAAGCTGTCGTCATCCAGGTAACTGGACAGTATTGTATCACCCTCCTCACTTGTAAAGTTACCGTAGTCTTACCAGAACATAGGACTGGTGATGGGTTAACCTGAGGGTCACCATGCCTCAGGCGAGGGGAGAGGTTGAGAAGGAGACAATTCATGGTAACCTCAGCCAGTGCAGGAATTGAACCCGCACTGTTGGAGTCACTGTGCATGGCAAACCAACCGTCCGGCCAACTGACCCCCATTCCTGACCTTTACCTTATGGATGGTGAATAGGCTTTGGGGAGTCAGGAGGTGAGTGATTCCATCCAGAATTCCTAGCCTCTAACTCTCCTTTGTAGCTACAGTATTTGAATTTCAATTATGGTTAAATTTCTGGTCTGTGGTAATCACCAGGATGTTGATTATGGAAGGGAGGGGGAGATTTCGTGATTATCATCTCATTAGCTGTTATGGGGAGATTATTAGATTCTCTCTTGTTGGAGATAGTCATAGTTTGGCCCTTGTGCAACACAAATGTTACTTGTCAAATATTTGCCTTGATTGTGGTCCAGATTGTTTTGCATTTGGGCACAGAATGCATCATTATCTGATGAATTGTGAACAGAGAACTAAATATTGTGCAATCGTCGACGACTATTGGCACTTCTAAATCAATGATGGAAAAAAAATCTTTGATGAAACAGTGAAGATGGTAGGTCCTAGAATACTGATATCTTTCAGTTCACACTATTTAAATAATTTTTTGAGTGGCTTTCTCAACATTCTTTCTTAACCATTAATATTAAAAAAAAAGTACAAGGTTTTGGTAACTTCGCATCTAGAATACTTTGTGCAGTTTTGGCCCCCTTATCTAAGGAATGGCTTATTAGTCTTAAAGGAAGTGAAACAAAGGCACAGTAGATTGTTTTCTCGGATGGCATGACTGTCTTAGAAAGAAAGAATGAGTAGACTAGGTCTGTATACTCTGGGATTTAGAAGAATTAGAAGTGATTTAATTGAAGCACATAAAATTCTTAAGAGGCAAGCCCAAATAGATAAAAACCAGAAGAACTGCAGATGCTGTAAATCAGGAACAAAAACAAAATTGCTGGAAAAGCTCAGCAGGTCTGGCAGCATCTGTGGAGGAGAAAACAGAGTTAACGTTTCGGGCCCGGTGACCCTTCCTCAGAACTGCTTCTCAAACTTCCTCAGAACCTCAGTTCTGAGGAAGTTTGAGAAGGAGCTCTGAGGAAGGGTCACCGGACCCGAAACATTAACTCTTTAAGCCCA